TTCCCCTAAACTGATCCTTGGTTCCCGTTAACTGATTCTTGGTTCCCGTTAACTGATTCTTGGTTCCCGTTAACTGATCCTTGGTTCCCCTAAACTGATCCTTGGTTTCCCTAAACTGACCTTTTTTGCCCCTTAACTGATCCCTGGTTCCCCTTAACTGATCCCTGGTTCCCCTTAACTGATCCTTGGTTCCCCTTAACTGATCCTTGGTTCCCCTAAACTGACCTTTGTTTCCCCTAAACGGACCCTTGGTTCCCCTAAACTGACCCTTGGTTCCCCTAAACTGACCTTTTTTTTTCCCCTTAACTGACCCTTGGTTCCCCTTAACTGACCTTTGGTTCCCCATAAAGGATTATTGGTTCCCCTAAACTGACCCTTGGTACACCTTAACTGACCCTTGGTTCCCCTTAACTGACCCTTGGTTCCCCTAAACTTACTTTTGGTTCCCCTAAACTGATCCTTGGTTCCCCTTAACTGATCCTTGGTTCCCCTTAACTGATCCTTGGTTCCCCTTAACGGATCCTTGGTTCCCCTTAACTGACCTTTGGTTCCCCATAACGGATTATTGGTACCCCTTAACTGACCCTTGGTACCTCTTAACTGATCCTTGGTACCCCTTAATGGATCCTTGGTTCCCCTTAACTGACCCTTGGTTCCCCTTAACTGACCCTTGGTTCCCCTTAACTGACCCTTAGTTCCCCTAAACTGATCCTTGGTTCCCCTAAAATGATCCTTGGTTCCCCTTAACGGATCCTTGGTTCCCCTTAACGGATCCTTGGTTCCCCTTAACGGATCCTTGGTTCCCCTTAACGGACCCTTGGTTCCCCTTAACTGACCCTTGGTTCCCCTTAACTGACCCTTGGTTCTCCTAAACTTACCTTTGGTTTCCCTAAACTAGTCCTTGGTTCCCCTAAACTGATCCTTGGTTCCCCTAAACTGATCCTTGGTTCCCCTTAACTGATCCTTGGTTCCCCTTAACTGATTCTTGGTTCCCCTAAACTGACCCTTGGTACCCCTTAACTGATCCTTGGTTCCTCTTAACTGACCCTTGGTTCACTTAACTGATCCATGGTTCCCCTAAACTGACCCTCTGTTCCCCTTAACAGANCCCCTTAACTGATCCTTGGTTCCTCTTAACTGACCCTTGGTTCACTTAACTGATCCATGGTTCCCCTAAACTGACCCTCTGTTCCCCTTAACAGATCCTTGGTGCTCCTAAACTGACTCTCTGTTCCCCTAAACTGACCCTCTGTTCCCCTAAACGGATCCTAGTTTCCCCTTAACTGATCCTTGGTTCCCCTTAACTGACCCTTGGTTCCCCTTAACTGACCCTTGGTTCCCCTAAACTGACCTTTGGTTCCCCTAAACTGACCCTCGGTTCCCCTAAACTGATGGCTGCCGGGTCAGTTCCAGAACCACAGCTTCTATTGGGTTGAACTGTTAGGGGTCCATCATCGACCACAGGGGCCCCCCCTCCTATCGGGGCCTGAAGACCAAGCTTGGTCAGCCATGACCCCAGGAGAGACAAGGAGATCATAGACCTTAGCAACCTCATCCTCCAATGGCTGACCAACAGCAACAACCAGTCCTTTCAATTCCTGATCAAACCATCACCCTACAGTCAATCTCAGCTTGACTGAGACCACAGCTGACATCATTTGTGATTGTTAAAGACACCATGTGCACATCACTGATTCACAACTAAAGTCACCAGCATGTCCACATTCAACGGGTCCACCACAGCAGAGAAGATCAGATCAACTGGATCTGGACTGGCCCTTGGATTTAAGACCCCCTGGGAGAAGAGCCCTGGACCGGCCCCTTGATTTAAGGCCCCCTGGGAGAAGAGCCCTGGACCGGCCCCTTGATTTAAGGCCCCCTGGGTGCAGAGCCCTGGACCGGCCCCTTGATTTAAGGCCCCCTGGGTGCAGAGCCCTGGGCAGCCTTTTGATTTAAAGCCCCCTGGGAGCAGAGCCCTGGACCGGCCCCTTAAGTTTAGGGCCCTCTGGGTGGAGTGCCCTGGAAGAACTTTGATTTAAGGCCCCCTGGGTGCAGAGCCCTGGTCCGGCCCCTTAAGTTTAGGGCCCTCTGGGTGGAGAGCCCTGGAAGAACTTTGATTTTAAGGCCCCCTGGGAGCAGAGCCCTGGACCGGCCCATTGATTTAAGGCCCCCTGGTTGCAGAGCCAAGCAAAAGGAATCAGATCATGAAATGATAAATAGGGAGCATCTCAGACTCCTGCAGGAACCTGTTCAGACCGGATCTATTGATGCTCAGAACCGGTTTGGAGTTCCTGATGGAGGCTTTTAGAAGTGGAAGGTTCTGGCCTCCTGAAGGAAAGTTACAGCAATGATGTCGGACAGTGATCAAAAGCACCATGATGACACGTTACTGGAAATAAGCAGCTGACAAATCAAGATTTTTAACCGATTGTTTTAAATTTAAAACAACCAAGTAAAGGATTCGACTGTCACTTTATCAATAATTGCATCAAAAGTTAAAACCTCTAAGGTTAGGGCTGCTCTATATTAAAATAAGTGGATCCGCGTGGGTCCAGGACTCACCTGTGTTCTGCGTGTCGCGCTGCGGTCTGAATGAAGCTTCTGCTGGGGAATATAAATGCGCTGTGTTATGGATGGCCACGCCACATGGGCTGACAGCGGCTTCACAGTCATGGCCAATGAGAGCAGAGGCAGAGCTGCTGGATCCACTGATGGAGCAGCTGCCGACGTCACAGGACAGAGATGCTCGCGGGGTTACTGGAGTTCACAGCCTCATCAAACCAAAAGAACCTTCTTACTTTATTTCAGGCTTTTTTCTTGAGGTGCCTGAGACACAAACGGTGTGAAAAACACTGAACTGGTTTATTTAAAAACATTTCATTTGCTTTAATTTTCCCACCGATGCTGTAAAAATGAAAGATGCTTCGAAGGACCGGCTGAACCAGACCGGCCTCTGATGTCACCGATGGACTCCTCTGAATGGCGGCGCACGCAGCCAATCACGCAGCGGAGGTGTGAGCGTCTAACCAATCCCCTTACAGAGGCGCGTGATTTCCAAAGATAAGGCGATTACAAGGCGGGACAAACCATGACGTCACCTGCAGCTCTCGCGCGATCTGTTTGGGTTACTGGAGTTCATCCTCTGAGCCAGGAGGCTGTCTGCACTACTGTAACCTGCTACTGTGGTGATGGACAGAAAAACATGGCTGACTGATAGCAGGTCAGACAGGACAGCCTGCTACCAGGCTGCTACCTGGCTGCTACCTGGCTGCTAACAGACTGCTACCAGGCTGCTACCTGTCTGCTAACAGGCTGCTAACAGGCTGCTACCAGGCTGCTAACAGGCTGCTACCTGGCTGCTAACAGACTGCTACCAGGCTGCTACCTGGCTGCTACCTGGCTGCTAACAGGCTGCTACCAGGCTGCTACCTGACTGCTACCTGGCTGCTACCTGACTGCTACCAGGCTGCTACCTGACTGCTAACAGGCTGCAAATAGGCCTACATTCATTGCCTAGTCAGTAAATAAAGACAGAGAAAAATATCTGCACTGATTTAAATCTTCTCTGCTACCTGACTGCTAACAGGCTGCTAATAGGCCTACATTCATTGCCTAGTCAGTAAATAAAGACAGAGAAAAATATCTGCACTGATTTAAATCTTCTCGCTCATAATAAAAAAAAAACATCTTGAAGAAAGATGTTCTTCAAGATGTTTTCAAAGTTTTTATTCCTTCAGTTAATGGACCGACCAGAAGGGAAGTCAGTTTAGCTTTGAGACTGTCAGTTAGTCGCTACACTGGCTAACTGTTTGTTGCTAACACTGAATGATTCTCAAGGTTGTTGAATCTAAAATTATCTAAACCAGCTTCTTAGTATTAAATATATCAGTCCAGCCATGTATGACTGAGCGCCTAACATGGCCGTTTAGGGAGGCTGAAAGAGGAAGTGATGACTAAATCAGGACTAAACGTTCAGCAGATTCAATCTCTTGTCCAGCTAAGCTCAAGAGTTTGAAATAATTGATAGCATTTATTTCTATGCAGCATCAGTCCTGGAAAATAAAATGTATTTTATTTTATATCATATATTTTTTGTAACAGTTTAAATCCAGCTCATCAGTAACCATCACTATTTTCAAAGTGTACATTTTTATCCAAATAAGATTCAACTGTGGGAAATGTTAATTATTGCTGCAGTAAAGCTGAAGGTGTGATGAAACTAATGGCAGTTATGACCCAGAGATGACTCAGTGTCCACAGAACAAACAGGACATTCCTGCAGCGCGGCTCAGTCGCCATCAGCTGATAAACAAGCAGCCTGAAATAGTTTCTGCTCTGAAACTATTCCAGGCTGGTTTCACCACCTGGTTGTTGTAAACAAATTTCAACAAGGGGCTGTGAATACTTAAATAGATCTTTTGTGTTTTGCCAAAGTGCCTCTAAACAGAGAACAGGTGAGTGTTATTGAACACCTTAAGTTCCTGTATCACCTGGACGATTTATGCCCGCTGTCCCAGAATCTCCTAAAATGCTGACCTTTCTATGTATATTTTCTATTCTGGGC